GCACATCTCAGGGCATAGTACAGGCACAATGCTGGGTACTCAGTTGGTGTTTAATGAACACTTCCTGTACAGAAGAAACAGGAGTAGTAATAATAACTCATGATTATACAAAACTTATAAGTTTCTAAATACTATCACATGTACTCACTGAGTGCTTAGTAAGGCAGATTTGCCAGTCATCCCAGTAGAGATGAGAATGTAAGGGCAGGGATAGATTAAATAATATGCCCAAGCTTGCTCAGCTAATAGAGAGGTAGAGACAGGTTTTATTCCTGGCCTCTACCTCTTCATTATATTATAGTTCCAAATTCACTGTTTTTCCCTCTCCTTGACACTGCCCCTAAAATATTTGTTGGAATATAGACTTAATGTATGAAAATCTTATTAGAAACCAGTCTGACCCTATCTATTCTTGACCTGCTTGTTTTTAGTTGGAGGTGGTGGAGGCTGGTGATGAAGAGCTACTAGTGGTGATGACAGTGCTCAGCTTCCTGCCTCTTGTTGGCTTTCCCAAATAAAGAGAACCACAGCCTGCTTCCTTTCATTCCCAAGTCCCGTCCTGCCCCAAGCAGGATGCGTACTGACCAGGAGGCACTTATTGTCTTCAATCTTTATTGGTTTAACACTGGTATGAGTGAGCATCTCTTTCCTACAGCCCTGCTTTAAGCAAATCCAACATATAAAAATTGGGATTAAATCTTAGGGGAATCTGTAGACACTACTCCCTCAAGGAGGTAGAGTATAACTCTTCACTCTCTAAATATGGACTGCATATAATGACTTCCTTCTAAAGAGTAAAGTATGGACAGGAGAAAGAGAGTAACTATGCAACAGAGAAACCTGACAAAAGCACCACCTGCACCAAGCGATCAAGGTTAACATCATCACTGAGAGGTCATATTATAGCTTGTATCCTTGATATGAAGGGGTGAAAATGGCACTTTGCATCTGTGGTCTTCCTGCCTCAACATTTACAACTTCAGTCTAATTATGGGAAAAACTTCAGACAAACCCATATGGAGAAACATTCTACAATATACCTGACCAGTAGTCCTCAAAACAGTCAAGGTCATCAACAACAAGGAAAGCCTGAGAAACTGTGTAGTCTGGAGGAGCCTAAGGAGACATGATGACTAAATGTAATGTTTGGATAGGATCCTGGAACAGAAAAAGGGCAGTGGGTAAAAATTTAGAAAATACAAATAAAGTGTGAACTTTAATTAATAGTAACTTACAATATTTGTTCATTGATTGTGAAAAATGCAGCCATACAATGTAATAGGGAAAACTGGGTGTGAACTGTGTGTGTTTGTGTGTGTTTGTACATATATACAGAAAAACTTCAACAATAGTAGAGAGAATATATATTCTGAATATAAATAATTTCAAAAGAGCAGTTCTATGATTTAATGTGAATGTCACTGTGCTACTTGCTGTTGGAGACTTGGAATAGGAGGCATAGTCCACGGGCGGAAACAGGACAATAGAGACAAAGAAACAGACACAGATGACAGCTTGGCTCATGTGTTAACAATGGGGACATTAGCTAAGTGCTTCCTAATCACCTGCTTCTGATATAATCATGAAGCTGATTAGACCTTACTTTTGTGTGACACCTTACAGTTTACAAAGCTCTCTCATAGGCACTCACACATGCTCTGCACAATACCTCTGTCACTTAGGTGGGACCAGTGTTGTCATCTCTGTTTTAAAAGGAGCGAGAGGCACTAAGAATTCTCACCTACCCTCTGTGTGCGGTGTGCCAGTGTGGCCCCCTCCATATGTTGGCTAATTCATATAAAATGCATGATAATTTATCATTTTATACATCTACAGATAAGGAATATAATTACAGATGAGGAAACTAAGGCTCTGGAAATTTCCCAAGGTTACTTCACTAGTTAATATTAGAGCCAAGAGTTAAACTCGGGTGTTCTGGTCTCAAGACTACTTCTTTTTTCATTATCCCGCAGGCTTTCTATGTGATGATTACGCAGAGTGTAGTTACATTAATGACATGGTGCCCTGAATCTTCACATTTTTAATGTGCCAGTGAGTGGAAACTTTTAACTAGCTTCTTCTATCAGAACCAGTTATTATACATAAAATCTGCTGCACTCACTGTCATCCTTACCAGTAACTTTGGGAGCTTGGAAGGCAGTTGGTAATCTTTGTGTTTCCCTTGGCCACTTGTGTTTGGATAGTGTCTCAGTGTATGAGATGGAAACTATGACTTCCTGAAAAAAGGGCTCATCAATGTAAACATGAGAGGGGATGATTTGTCACAAACACTAGAACCTATGTCAAAATGAGTATTTCTCTTTAAGATAGTTGCTTTGAGAGGACAACCAAGTCAATTGCTTTTTAGTTGTCTCGTTTTTATGCAAACTGGTCGTGCCACCTTCCTTGCCAAGGTTAGCACTGAAATCCTTTTGTTTCCACAGTGGTCTCTGAGCTCCTTCTGGGCAGGGCTGAATCTTCAGTATCCAGCACAGAGCCCAGCCCTCCAAGGTGCTCAGACCTTGTTTGTTGAGTGGAATGGAACCAAAACTGATTCTTCAGGATGGAGTTGTCACTGCAGGGTACAGACTGGTCCAAAGACATCTAATCCCTCTCGGTCTCTGACCTGAAGAAGGTGGACAGCCACTTGGCAGGAAACCTTAACCAAAACCATTTCAGATGCCTGATTCCTCCACAGGATTATTAGTCATCCTCCACAGTTGTATTTATTTATTTGAGCCCATGTCACCGTGAGCCATATTTCCTGCTCCTCTGCTCCTACCTCCCTTTCCCCTATTTCTTCCTGGAATGTCCAACTCAGCCCTGAGGGTTACTCTGAACCCAGTCTCACCCTTGCTGACAAGATGTTTCTCATCCCTCCCTTCATCTCAGGGACCAAGCACAGGTTGTTCTACCTCTTCTTGCACTATTCCTCACTTGGGAATCACCTGACAGAGGAACTGACAACCTGGAACCTATGAACCAGAGTTCCTTCTTTTATACTCATCACTGGTATTTCACAACACATCTGGTTTGCTGAGTTTTAAGGCAGACCTTCTTAACTCTAGGCCAGAGAAGGAGTCAAAGAATCATCAAGACTTTCATTACGATGAGGGAGACCTCAGGAGGAGCCCTGCCATGCACCCCTTCTTTTCTTTGCAGAATCCCTACTGAGTACTGTTGTCCACCAGCCCATCTTCAGTTTTCCTTATCAAAATCTTACAGGCAAATATCACTAGTGGGAGTAAAAAACTAAGAATTAATACCAAAGAAAAAGAAAGCAGTGTGACTCCCTTTTGATGTTGGCCTAATGTAGAGGAATATGAATAACTATTTCAGTCCTCACAGAAATAGATTTATATGCTGTCACTCATCCAGAGTGCTCATGACCTGTAATTACCTTATTCTCAATTGTGTGACAGAAAGTCTGCTGGGCTAGGAGTTTAGAGCCCTGGTTCTATCATGAGGTCTATGAAAAACTGAGTATCCCTTGTTTATGCCATCTGTAAATGAAAGTGCTAATTATTAAATGACTTCAGCCTTAACACTCATGTCCACCCCCATTTATTAAGCCAGCTCAACTCTGCACTCAGCTTTAGACATGCAGTAAGAAAAACACATCATTTCTTTCCTCAAGTGCCCCACAGGCTCATGTCCAAGATAATCCTCGCTCCCACATTGGCAAGTGCTTCCTGAGGCTTTTGTATGTGGGTGTCACTTCTGCTTTCTTAGACTGTGAGGTCCCCAGGGGCAGTGGTCAAGTCCACTTTCTTCTGTCTTTCATCATTCCTGCCAACAAGGTCTGCACACAGTGGATGCACAAAGGTTTTTAGAAAGACATCTTTTAGGCCAGGAAGGCCCTTGGCCTACAGTACAAGCTTTCAAAGGCTAGATGGCACTGTTGCTAGAGCCAAACCAGGTGTGTTCTGAAATAGTGGTGAGGAGGGAAGAGAGACTAGAGGGGGTCGGGGTGCCTCGAACATTCACTTGCTGAGTTTGATTCAGATATATTGCAGAAAGGCAGGACTCCTCCCTCACCAGCACAGAGTGCTTTGCCATTTTCAGGGCATCTTTACAAACATGGCTTCAAATGGTCCTCAGAACAAACCTGTATCAATCCTCATTTTATAGAAGAGCAGCTCAGAGAAAGCAAGTGCCTGGACTAAAGTTATGTGGCAGTTAATTGGCAGGGATTTTTATCATTCATACATACCTTGTCGACATCACCCAACCCCATGAGGGTCATCCGACTAAGCCAAAGGACTCCGGTCAGATATACGGTTGTCCCAGAAGGGCGGCCTGGGTACACTGGACCCAGCCTGGGGGAAAAAGGTAGGGTTCTCAGCCAGACTAACTGCAAGGCATTGACTTAACCTGTTAAGCTAGAAATGTCTGCATCTGTGACCAGGAGAGAACACAGTCATTTTGGGGTGAATAAATGACAGCACATAAAGGTTATTTCAAGAACAAAAATTGTGGGTAATTTGTACACATGCTAGGACTTATGGTTGATGTTTTACTGAAAGAATGGTCTGTTTTAGGATGTTGCCCTGTGGTTGGGTTGTATAGGTCCTGTGTCCATTGCTTTACCATGTTCACACGTTTCTCATTAAAATAAAACAAACAAAATCATCCTGTGTGGTAGGCAAGACAGGTGTTGCAATTGTGCCCATTTATGATAAAAAAAACAAGAGTCAGAAAAGTGAAGAGACATTCAAGATCATGCAGCTGAGAAGTAGGTTGACCTTTTGAAAACTTTAGCCCAGAATGAGGCTAAACTGAGATCTCGTCCTCTTTTCCCCATAGTTTTTTCAGGCTATCTAGAAATCACAAAATCAGGAGAGCTGTTGTTAATATGGAAGGTAAGTCATTGGAGACTAGAAAAATACCTATATAGAATGATGAGTAATTAATAATATGCAAGCTTATGCAAATTAAGAGAAAACGATTATCTGTTATTTATGCCTTCTGGTTTTCTCTACTCTCCTCTTTCTTCCCAGGATGATGATGAAGATAAGCTGAGCTGGAGAGATCGTTTCCCAGGTTACCTGATAAACTTTGTCTCCATCTTGTTCATGGTAATTTCCTTGAGGGAACACCTGCCTATGACTTAACGCTTGTTAGATCCTGTTAAGGGAATACTGTGGGTGTGTTGTTCTTTTATGCTATGGGAATAATGAGGGACTAATAAAGATGAAGCCACAATCCCTGTATAGAAGGACAAGGCCTTATCTGATAGTGCGGCCATTTCTAGTATCAGTCACCTGAAGAAGGGAAGGTGATTTTCTCGGACAAAACACCAGACCTGGAGGGGGTCAGTGACCTTCTGTAGCTATTGAAAGAGTTTCCATCTTCCTAGAATGAAGAGGGTAGTAGGGGTTCTGTCTTCCCAGCCTTGACCACAGATGTTTGAAGTTGGAACTATTTGGGGTGGGTTGGTGGTAAGATGGTACCTTCCACACTGGGACAGACCAAGGCCTTGGAAGAAGTAATCAGGTAAGACGGCTACAAAACTGTGGCAGCCTGTTGAAGCCGGCTGACTCTCATGATTTGTGGAATAGAACAGAGTCGGGCAGCCAGGGAGGCAGCCAGCCTGGGCTTTCTAAGCTGATTCTTTAGTTTTCCTGTAGTTGTTGTGTTTGCTTCTGTGTTCTCCCTGGGAGTTTGAGAGGGCTGTTTGAAAGGCCCAGATGGTCTCAGCTGTGTCAGGGAAGGTAAGGAAGGGGTTTATGCTTCATATTTGAGTTATATCAATAAAGTGATAGCAGGCTGGTCTTGGGAGCCAGGATGAGTGAACCAACAGTAACTGAAGCAAGAAGATCTTACGATATTTGTAACATCCCCTCTTGCTGAAAATAACAAAAGGTGAAACTCAGAGGACTGAACATGGGCCACTGAGCTGTCTGCCTTGTCTTTATGGGTAGGCTCCTTCCAGTATTCAAAACTGGAGCTTCTGTTTTACACAGCGGTTGTATCCCTACAGCATTTCTAAGCAGGACTACACATTAGTTGTGGGGTGGAGCAGAGTTTGCTTATTCACCCCCCAAAAAAGTTGGGGGGGGACTGAAATGATTATAATTTTCTGGACCTACTGGCCACAGGTAACTTTGATCCTGGCCTGAGGTTATTATTGCCATCCTGATCCTTGAGGACAGGAACCATGTCCTAGTCTCAGAAGTTTAAAGTGAAGGAAGCACCTACTTCAACAATTTGTTTCACAGATGAACTGCAGAGGTGGTGAGTGCCTTGCCAGGACTTGGAAGTCTACATTTGTTATCTTCTCATTGCTTAACAAGAGCAAGGCATGTAGAATGCATTCAACAACATGTGGTGAATTGCAATGTGTTACGCTGGAATGATATAAAGTTTAATTTAGCACTTCAAAGCCTCCCACAATATGCATCTTGTTGTCAGAGATTATTCATTCATTCAAGAAATATTTAATGGGTGCCAACTATGTGCTTGACGCTATTCTTAGGCCTTGGGGGTAGAGCAGAAAATAAAACAAAATAATCCTTCCCTCAAGGAGTTTATAGATAACAAATACATACATAAATAAGAAAATAGTTAAGTAAAATATTTCTATCTCCAGTGGTGATAGGTTAGGATGTTTATAACATCCCACCTTGCTGAAAATTACAAAAACTAATATTGGATAAATATATTTTTCAATCTTGTTAAAGTCTTGAATGGCTGACAGAATTGTGAGGGTAAGCTCTAAGGGAAAATGAGAGGTGCCTTTACCCATCTAGACCAATGGCTTTGGTTTTGGTGGTTTTATGGGGGCAAGGAGAGTAGAAATCAGGAGAATGGCTGGCTCAAAGTAGGGATTCTAACAGGAAGTCCTCACCTAATTAAATTGGAACTCCAAAGGACTACATTCTCGGAATAAAGATGATAGAACTAAACCGACCCCATTTCCCATTTATGGGACTGCAGAGAAAATTATGTTCTAAGTAGAACAGGGAGGAAGAGGGAATCATCTCCCAGATGGGCATGGGCAATCACCATTGTGGATTGACAGCCTGGTCCATCACACGAGAGGACCAGGGTATTGCCCTGGAACAATGTGTGGAGCATGAGACCGAGCAGTCAGGGAAGTGTTTATAAAAGAGTTTTTTGTTTTGGAATTTGGGCAACAAACTGGAGTATCAAATATCTTTCCCTCCTCCGTCCCCTGTGACTAAACCTTGGCAGAAGATTTCAGGACCTTGGCCCTGAGGACGGTTTTAGGGATGCCAGTCTGCCAGATCAGCTGGGGATGTTTTTCATAGGATGACAGGAGCCAAGAAACATCACATGCTGTGCCCATTTTCCCCACCATGATAGAGACCTAGATGGACAAAGACAGATTTTCTCTTTCTTCTCCAACCCAGTAGGTTGAGCTAAAGTTCCTTTTCTGTTTGAATTGGCCCTCTTTTGGTTTTCTTTTTACATGGCAGGGAATTATCACAGGCAATGTCCATCCTTCCTCTAGAGCTAGGTGCCTGAACCCTCCTCCCATGCCCAAGACAGTCACTTGCACTTGCATATTGGGAGCCACCCATCAGAAAACCTCCGCCGTTGCCAGTGTTATTACAGTGGCTTCCTAACTAGTCCCCCTACTGATCTTTGCAAAATTGAGGTCCGATAATGGCATTCCCCTGCTCCAAACCCTCTAGAGTTTTCACACCTCATGAGATGTAGAGCCAACACCTTTATACCACAGGGCTGGCCCTGCTCCTCTCTACCACCCATGCCCCACTCCAACTCTCCCTTTGCTTAAGTAGGTCCTTATGGATATGTCACCTTCTTACCTAGGCCTTTCCTGACCACCCTATTTTAAATGACAAGCTTTCTCCATAACCCTGCTCTACTTTATTTGTTTCCATAGTGTTTATCACACCAGATATACTATATATTTTACTTATTTATTAGTTTATTGGCTATCTTTCCCCAATAGAGGATCAAAATCCAAGACATTTGTATCTTTGTTCAGCAATATATCACTGACACCTAAAATGGTGACTAGCACATAGTAGGTACTCGAGACATCTTTTATGAATGACTGAATGAGAAAATAAATTAAGAAGATGCCAGAGACAACTTATTATGTCAATGATAAAGTTATTAGTGTGTATATTTTTAAAATTGAGCTACTATTATGTGCCATGCCCTAGACTAGGCACTCTCCCACTAGTTTCTCCTCCCAGAGGTTGCTTCTGCCTGTGTATTTCTACTTACTCCTCTGTATACCTTCTTCCAAGACTTTCCCATAGAAAACAGTCCCAAAGCCGCTTCTGTGGAGTTTCCTCTCACTAATCCCCCTGCTCTCTACTCAGAGCATACCAGAAGCTCATGAAGTAAGGCCTGTGACTCTGTCCAGCTGCTACTAGTCTCCACATTTGTTATGTGTGCAATGGTTTTCTCAACTTTGCTTCAGAATGCAAGTCCTAGAGGGTAGGGATCAGGTCGACTCTCCTCTCTGTCTCTCTTAGAGTGTCAAATAGGGCTATGGACTTTGTAGCCTGGCCTCCATTGCAATTTGGCTGTGCCCAGAAGTAAATTATGGGATTAAAACACCAAAGCAACAGGAACCATGATAATGTGACCACGTGCAGGGGATCAGCAAATCTTTACCGAGAAGATTGTATGCCTGAGCCACCTCTATGAAATGGCAGGAGGCACAGAATGCAGCACAACACCAAGCCCCGCTTTTGCCCTAGGAGGAGGCTGATCACCAACATGCACCATACCCAGCACAGTGGTTTGCACAATAAGTGCTCAGAAAATACTTATTGAATTTAATCAACAAAATCAATAATGCAGCCAAAGTTGTGAGAATAGTACTGTATTTAGTGCCAGAATATGTGGGTTCTAATGTCAGGATAGGGTTATAGACTTTGCAGCCATAGAGCAGGGTTCGAATCCTGGATATCACTAACTTGCATCTACAAAAGGCATGTCTTCTGTGGTAATTATAAGGATTAGCACTAGCAAAGATATGCATTGAATAATGACATAGAGAGGGTACAAATGGATCAGCTGTTGTTGATGATGATGTTATTACCATTAGTGCATCAGTTCTACCATGTACCCTCTGGACCTGGGACCGATCACATTGCTGTTTCTTGAGCCTCAGTTTCTTATATGTGAGATCAAAGGCTAAACATGGATAGATGATCCCTAAATGCTAAAGTTCTTGTAATTCCTACCATGATCCAGAAGACTAGGGTGGTTGTCCATGCCTTGTGACCTTGAACAAATCTGTTTTCACACCTCTTTCTTCATCTGTGAAATGGTCTGGTCTGGGCTTGTATTCTCCAAGTTCTTCCAGTTTGAAAACTGATTCTTGAGGTGCTTGTGGGAAACATAGAAGGGAAGGTTCAAAACCTGATTTCTGCAAATGGGATGGAAAATCAAGACCAAAGAAGTTAAGACTGCAAAGAACAGCAACAGAGGGCTGGGAAGGGACACGGAGGTGGGGCTGGGGAGGTAGAGAGGGTGGGAAGAAGGGATTTCCCACAGGAGGAGGGCAGTGCCTCTAGAATTTGCAAAGGAATCTCATTAAAGTGCAGATTCTGCATCAGTAGGATCAACAACTGCATCTGGAGTTGTGCTTGAGATCCTGCATCAGGCTCCCAGCTGATGGAGCAGGTCCTGGGGTTCACACTTTGTGTAACCAGGAAGAGCCTTCTTCCTCCCCCAGTTTAGCAGCTGGGCCTCTTAGAGAAGGAAGATAGAAGCTGATCTCCTGCCCACTCCTTTCTCCATGCACCACCCCCAGACTCCAAAGCAAAGGATGTTTTTGCCATTGTTGTTTTTCTCCCAGTCATTCCTCCAACTCCAACCCCAAATACACACGCTCACACAGACACACTCACACACTCTTCGATGCCCTGGCCGCCCCCGCCTCATCATTACTTCCATCACTGGCCTTCACTGCAAAAGTGATTTTGGGGAAAAAGAATCTCACACCACGTTTTCCAGGCCCTTACTGTCTGGCAGTGACAATCCCAGAGGAACGGGAAGTGAAAATGTCGACATTGTTGGAGAGCAGCGATGTCTCGTCCTGGTTTTCCCACTTGCATGGTAGTCATTCCTCCCTAGTCCTGGAGCCTGGGGTTTCTGCTGCTCCCGCCCTGTACCCTACATGAGAAGAGGGGCCTCCCACAGTGATTTTCCCATCCAACCTCTCCTACACCCTGACTTACATGTATGTGGATGCACTCACATGTACACATACACATCCTCCCTCTTCCCAGGGAACACGGCCATCTTCTCTTCCTTCTTTTTTACACCACGGCCCGCAGGGTAAACACTAATATTTGTAAAGCACAAAGGGATAAACCACTGAGGCTGTCACCAGCACAGCTCAGGCCTCAGCACCTCCAGGTATCCCACCCCCAGAGGTTTGAAGACATCCGTCCCTCAGACACATCTGCAACCCATTCCCCATCCACAGCCCACCAGAGTGTCAACTGCACAGCTTGCAAAGCCCAAGCCTGAGCAGCCCCCTCCCTAACCCTCCTTTTTATGGAGAGAATGGACAGCCCAGGAAAGCTTGTTTCTTCAGAAGGCACCTTTATACCTGCTCCTTTCTCTCCCCATGTTTTCTATTTAGCCCTCCACCCCCTGCCCCTAGAGGAAATATGACCTGTACAGCCTCCTTTGCAAAAAGAACTCTAAGAAAAAAGACTTCACTTGATTAGAACAAATTAGAATTTTTCTCTGAGCAGGTTAAACACCTGACTGCTCTCTTTCTTCCTTCTGCCCTGTCTAGGAGGCTCTTTCAGGGCCCTTTCTTCTCCTGACATTTGTGCTTCAGGGAAATGGCCAGCCCTGGGCTATGATGTGAGAGAAGAGGGAGCTGGTCTGGGAGAATGCCTTATTATTCTTAGGTTCTAGAAAGAGGTATGGGGGGGTGCCCTTCGAAGGCAAGTGGCTGCTAGACTTCCCTTTTAAACATAGCAGCGAGAGATTTCAACACCAAGTGATAAATCTGAGTTCTCCATTTCAGATTGCCTGGTAGAGAAATTAGGGTGACCTTTTTTTTTCACCCTGGGGACTGACAGTGTGAAAAATCTCACTCTCTTTCTTTCTTCTTTGGTCAACCTTCTTGCACCCACCCCATCAAGCTCTCACTCACCCCTTCTCAGCTCAATCACCTTCAATGGCTCACTATTTCTTTTCATTGAGTCCCAGTTTAAATCCCATTGTTCCACAAACTATTCCCTGAGCACTCAGATCTACTTGCTCCTCTGTATTCTCGGTCCCTTTAATAGCTATAGTCTTCATTTAGCACTTAATACATTCTCAGGTATTATTGACTGTGGTTTAACAGGAATTCATCTTTTCTCCATAGTAAATTGAAAGCTCTCTCATGAAGCAATCACATGATGTGTATCGTACACACTGTAGTATCCAGCATTTCTATTCCTAGTTCTTTGTGTGTATTACAGGCCATTAGGAATCTGATAAAAATGGGAGACATTCTCTCCTGAAAAATGCATCAATTCTCATAATTTCCATGAGTTTAGAGTGCTGGCAGTTCCCTTGTTGTCCACCAATGGACTCCAGGTTAAGAATACCTGACATAGCACATAGTACTGTTGGCTGAACAAATGATAGGTGCTCAATAATTGTCTACAGATGTGTGACTCTCACTGTTTTTCCTCTACAGATTGCCCTGACCTTCTCAATTGTCTTTGCGGTCATTGTGTATCGCATCACAGTTGCAGCTGCTCTGTCTCTCAACAAGGACACACGCTCCAATGTCCGAGTGACAGTGACAGCGACGGCAGTCATCATCAACCTTGTGGTCATCCTCATCCTGGATGAGATCTACGGTGCCGTGGCCAAGTGGCTCACCAAAATCGGTACTGTGCCACCACATCACCTGTTTGCCCTGGGCTCCCTGAATGGGGTCAGTTCAATGTGGATAACACTTCTGGTGGTAATGGCCCAACGTGAGAAAAGGAACAGGAACAAGATGCTTTGTGCAGTGCCTTTAAATTGGAGAAATGAGAGATTACAGTGGTTATGTGCTGGTAGGGCCTACCAAAGGCTCTCCCAGGCAAAAATTGTTCCAGCCCAGGTCGATTGCCTCACTCTTCTCTAAGAATAATCCATGGGTCTATTCTTTTTAGCCTAATTTAGAAGCAAGCTGGGTTCAATGCTTCCTGTTAAAAATCTCTGAGTTTTAGCTCTCCTCATTTTCCCAGCAGCGTTTATAAAGTTGAGAAAGCCTCTTGATACTTGAGCCCGAGAGGGTCTTATCTATTCCCACATTGTCAGAGGCCTCAGAAAATCCACACATTCCCTGTGCACCAAGCAGACTTCAAAGAGGCATATCAGACTTCCCAAGCTTCAAGCCAGTGAGAAAAATGCAGTGGCCTCAATATTCAGACATGTCATTTGAGCTGCAACCTGCTGTTGCCTGAACACCACTTTTTGGCATTTGTGCTTATTAGGTGGGGGAGGGCTGAGAGCCGAGACCCTTTCCTCATTGGATTTATTCTGGGTGGCCTGGATGTACCCCCTTTCCCCCGCTGAATCCCGGGAGTAGGAGTCTTGGCCTCCTATTCACCTCTGGGAAGTTGAATTAATGATATGATGTCTTTAATTCACTGACCAGTTAGAAGCTAGACACTAAATAGGATAACCCCCTCTTTGAGAGAGCCTTCCCTGGAGGACCAGAGAATTCCGGAAAGGCTTCACTAATTCCAGTTACTCGTTCAGTGCCTTTCCCCGGCTGGGACTCTGTTCACAGTGAGCATTTACCTTTGGTTTCTATGTGGATGTAGGCAATTTACCATCCGGAGTGGCACTTCTGCTCTCTTTAGCTTGCACATAATCGTAAGTGTTATCTATATGCCTTCATAAACTTCTTGAGACAAGTAGGCAGAGCATTTCACTTCCGCATATTTAGTGGTATACAGGGTTCTATGGAAGCACTTAGGAGGACCAGCCAACACTCCTCAGGACTCAAGGGAGGCTCGGAGGTATAGGCCTCCAGTCAGAGAGCTCAGAGATAAGTGGTGGTCCGATAGGCACGTGCAGGGGGAGGAGGGAGGGGGTAGGAGGAGAAGGTTCCTGGCAGAGGAGACAGAACGAGAAATCCGGCACTGCAGAGGGAGATCAGATCCCTCAGGGTCAAGAACGGCACACAGAGAAGGGGCATGTGCCTCAGCTTCTATGATGGGTAGGTGGGTAGAATTTTGGTGGGCCTTGTACTGGGGAGCCGAAAGAGCAGAGCTTAGCATCGGAAGAGAGAACACACGAAGCATTCCCAGGATGCCACTGGAGGCATCCAGAGGGTGGTTGCTCTAGCATCTGTGGCATGTCCCGGGCATAGCATAGTGGGGGACTAGGCCCAGAAAGTTGATGATACCTTTTTGGTGGGAGACCTGAAATGCCAAGCTGAGGACTCTGCTTATTTTTATAGACAATGGAAAAGTATTTCCAGGAGTTCAAAGGAACATCTCATGAAAACTGTCCATTATCCTGGCCTGAGTCCTGAACTAGCTGAGAAATAAAGCAAAGGCAGATGAAGACAAAAGCCAGGGTACCACCTTTAAAGCTGGAGGAAGCATCTTAGAAGAGCCCAATAGGCTTCCTAGTACTGGATTGCAGACTGATATACCCTCCTGGTGGTGGACAACAGTGAGCAGGGCAGCCCTGAAAGTCTTAGGGACAGAGGTGGAAGGGGGCGCAGAGAACACCTGCTTCCTGCAGGCCCTTTGCTCCCCAAAGGAGGAGCAGAGGAGTGGGCAGGCAAGGAGTGCCACTGTCATCTTCCAGACAGACTACTGAGGTAAGCTACTTCCCCTTCTGTCACCCAAGAGAAGAAATGAGTGAGATGGCAGAGATGAGGCAGGACGTCACAACTGATCACAGTCGCTCCATGTGGAAGAAACACCAGCAGCGGAAAGAAATGTCACCTCGGCAGCTCCTGACTCAATAGCTCCCAACATCCCTGAGGATCTCTCAAAGGGTGTGATGTGATGGGAGCTGTGTGTTTGCAGAATTACTTGGCCAGGATATAGGATGCCAGCGGGGAGAGAGGCTGGAAGGTCTGACATAAAGGAGATTGCTAAACACGTAGACAGGAAGCAGGGAAGAGAGGAGCAGGGAATGAGGGATGTAGAAATGTCTTCCTGCTGTCCATGGGCATTACTTTATTTCACTTTTCCTATACGGCTCCAGAGAGTAGTAAAGGCGGAACAGGAATGGAGTGGTTGACTGTCAAAAACTCATTAGCAAGTATTTAGTGTACGAGGTTGGGCAAATTCTGTTTGCGTTGGACCACAGAGCAGTTTCCATACTGTGAAGCTGCATCCACTGCTTCTGATGGTCCTCCCTCACCCCAGAAGTTCCAGCGCCTTCAGGCTGCTAAACCAATGCCCAGTTCTTCCTAAGAAAGTCTGTGCACTGGGAAAGAGATGAAATTCTAGCAAGTATATGTTGTTCTTTGTGATAACAATGCCCATAAATTGTTTTTAAACTAAAAAAAGTTCTGTATCCTATTTCATTTTCACAAAAACTATGTGTGGTCAGCAGAGGAAGTGTTATATCCTCATTATAGGAGGGTTCAAACTCAGATTCTACTTCTAAAATACAAGTGTCTTTTGTGCTATTTTTATGTAAGTTTCTTACTGTCTGGACTGAAGTGGTGTGTTGCATCTTTACTCAGTGACCCATGCAGGCATTATCCTGGATTGTTGCTCTTGTCTGTCTTAGACTGAACATCCCCAGGGTCTCAGATAGGTGCTGCTGTGCAGTGGAAGGACCACTGAATTAGAGAGTCCACTGGGAAGAACCTGGTAGTTCCAGACCAGGCTCCTTGTCCCTCCCACCCCCAGCTTTGTGGCATTGGGCAGAGAGGAGACTTTTCCAGATCAAGTTTAGTCAGTCCCTCCTTTACCATTTTCCTCTGTCCTGTCCAGACTATCACCCCTATCTGGACTATTGTCACAGCCTAATGACTGTGCCCTTGTATTCAGCTTTTCTATGGACCTCTACCTCAAAAATCCCCACCCAGTTCAGCCTTTCTTAGACAGTGAATTGGGGGGTATCAATACCATTCAGCCCCCACAGAGAGCTTCCTTTTGCCCTTAGTTCAGATATAAACTAACATTTGAAGCTCTAAACCACCTTCTTCCCACTGTCCTTTCCACCCCAGTGAGCTCACTCAACTCACAGTCACCCCAGACCACCTGCCCATGTGTTGTCCCCCGTGCTTGCTCAGGCTGCTGTAACCACTGTAACAACCCCGGTGACCCTCTCTAAAGGGCCTCTCAAGGCCTGCCTCCTGATGAATTCTTTTCTGGACACTCAGCCCTCAGTGAATTTCTCCCCACCCACTTCTGAACTCCTGGGCCACAGATCATTCATCTGTTCATTCATCCCTGATGTTGATCGAGTGCCTACTTCATGCCAGGCCCAATTCTGGAGCATGGCTGTAAACAAGAAAGACATGATCCCTGCTCTTCTTGGACAACACTGGTGAGGGAAAGAGGGACAGTAGACAAGAACATCTCATGGAGGGCGAGCAAGCAAAACAGGGAGATGTGATCACTATTGGGGTTGTGCACTTTGGATCAGGGGGTCGGGAAAGGCCTGTTGAAATGGGAGCATTACAGGTGAGACCTGAACAACAGGAGGGCACCGACCACACAGAGACCTGAGACAGCAAATGCAAGAGCAGAGGGGACACAATCCCCCAGACTTGGTGGCTTATAAACCAGCAAGGCAGAAGTCAGCTTGGAGTGTTATCTACTCTGCTCACTGGAAGTGACAGTGTACTGCCCAGTATCATTCCTGTATTTGTGTGTGTTTCCCAGATTAGAATAGATGAGGCTGTGCTAGCATAATGAATGCATCTGAAGATCTCAGTTGCATAATGTGAAGTTGTTTATTTGTTCTTGCTTGCACTACGTGTCTAGTGTGACAAGCCAGGGTCTCTGTTTCACACAGTCACTCAAGGACCCAGACTGATGGAGTCCACATGGACACAATGTTAGGGAGAGAGAGAGCAGGGGTGGTGGTGGGGAGTCATACAGAGGCTGTGAAACACTTCAGTCTGAAAGTGTCATCCATTACTTCCATCATCACTTCCATCCATCACGGCACACTGGCGAGGACTAGCCTAATTATGAAGACACTAGAATATATGTAGATGTGAGTGGATGCTCTGTGAACTGGAAAGGTCTCTGCTACTTGCTGCAACCAGACTACAAAGTCCTGGAGAACAGCTACTCTGTCTTACTGTTCAGTTCCCACATAGTGCCTACCTCATGGCAGATCTTAGCATAAGTTTCATTGGTGAAATCATCTCTTCTTCTATCCATGCACTCAAAACATTCTTTTCAAGAAATGTCCATAGGCCAGGCATCCTGTAAGTCTCAGTAGAGTCCACAATGAGTATTTATGTATTCATTATTTCAATTCTGCCTGCTTACAAAAGGATTTGAGGAAATATTGAGATGAACAGGCAAATGGAAAGTTGTCACAATGGAACAGTGACCAAAAGGTGCAACAGAGCTCTCAGAAGACTTGAATTCTCCTTTATGGTAAACTGTATACACACTACTGGAGATGGTTGTGCAGAGCAGGGGATGATTAGCATACCTGTAGGCAAAGGGGTGGTTTCCGAGTCCCTCAGGCCTTCACGGGGACATAGAGCTGTGGATAATGCCACCCAATTTAATGAAGATTCTGCCAGGCCGAGGGGCTTCATTGCCATTCTCACGGTAGGTTTAATACCCGTCTGGCTCTCTGCCCCAGATCTCCTGATTGATGAGGAGGCTGTGAATACATGCTTTGCTCACCAGGTGCAAACAGCTGGTGTAAACAACCCCAACATGTTCCCAAGTGT